GAAAATGAGGACTATGAAACCAAAACTGATGAACTAACTCGTAAAAAAGGTGAACTAGAAGCGGAAATCACCAGTCTCACTACCGCTTGAAAAAACCGAGTAAATGAAAAAGAACGAATTATCACCCGCCTCACTCAAGAAAAAAAAGACTTAGAGACTAAATATAAAAAGAAAGCTAAATTACTAGATGAGGAACAGTGCGAAAATAATAAGCTTACCCAAAGAATCACCAGTTTAGAACAACAAATTGAAAAAGAAAAATCAACTCCTTTACCTCAAAGTTGAGAAACTAACCGAATTACTGAATTAGAAACTACTCTACGAAATAAAGAAGCTAAAATCCAAGAATTAGCCAAATCCATTCGGGACTTGCAAAAGAAGAAAAAATAACATGAATGATCTCTTATTTTACTTAACTATCCTCGCTCTCCTCTACTACTTCTTTTATTACCAACCCTCCCACAAGAAGTTAAATACTACTAACCCACCCTTAACTAAACCTTTAACCCATTCCCAATTTACTCAAACTGAACCCTTTCAAATTGATAACCCCGAATTAGCCGAGTTAAAAATCAAAAACCAAACCTTAGAAACTAAACTGGAGACTAACCAGCAAGTTTATCAAAGTAAAATTAACGAACAACAAACCCACATTACTAACTTACAAGGCCAACTTAGAGAGTTAGTTACAAGACCCTTAAAACCGACTAACTCAAAAACTACTCAAACTGACTCAGCAACTGATTTAACCAAGACCTTAGATACTCTGATTAAAGATATCCAAGCCCTAAATAACGAACTATAATATATGACTCTTAAACAGCAATTACAACTATTAGTTAAAGAATTCACCACTCTCAAAACCAAAATCACCACTAAACTACAAACTCAAACCCAAACCATCACCCAAACTACTCAAAAACTTAATGAATCTAATTCCAAACTGGAACTCTCAGTAAAAGAAAACCAAGAAAATGAAAAAGTCTTAGAACAACTATTAAAAGAGTTTAAAGAGTTAGGGGAACAACTAAACTAAAATGCTTAGAGAGGAAATCTGAGAGGAATGAATCAGTGTAAAAATAACATTTGGTTTGCTAATAAAAGATAGTGAGAGATTAGACCAAACATTAACCGAAAATGATGAACTGACTAAATTTCGTTCGCGAATTATCTGAGCAGTTTTAGGACAAGTAAGGAAACCTCACCATACAATCACTGACCAAGAGATAATCGAGACCTTAGAAAGACTTAAAAAAGCAGGTGGAGGCGAAAGTGGACCAACTATTGAAGAAGTAGACTAATATGACTAATCCACAAAAAAAAAAAAAAAACAGGAAATTATAGAAGTGTGAACCGAATTAAAAACTAAACTAATCACTACCCTTACTGAACTAAAAGCTAATCATAAAGATAAGTGGGCAGTAGTTAAACCAACTGCTATTAATTGAACTCAGGTGCTAAATGAGGCTGAACTAAAAAGCCAAATCATTGAACGAGAAAACTTAATTAAAAAGTTGAATACCAGACCTCCTAATCAAATGTTATCTCCCACTGACCAAACTAAACTTAACCAAGCCCAAGCGGAATTGCTACTACTTAAAAAGCGGCAAAATGTGGCCACTACCCATTCCTTCCATCCCGCAGATATTGATTACCCCTCCCAATTAAGAATGCTTAATGAAAAACATGACCAACTAAATGATAAACTCAACTGACTAAGAACCCTAGTGCGAGCGGGAGATATTAACCAATTACAAGAATTAGTGCGTCAAGCTAAAATTTAACCCTTAGTAAAACTAATTTATAACCCGATCCTATTTATACCATGCCTAAAATCAAACCTACCCTAAAAAAAAGAAAAATAAGTCCAGTAAGTGGTAAAAATCAAAAAGCCCAATTTAAAAAGTATCTAGAGCGAATTGAAGATCCTAATTATCAAGGTGGTTCATGGGCTTTGCCTGAAAATCCCTCTCTTTTAGAAAAGACTAAGTATGAACTATGTCAAAAAGTTTTAACTTATCACTTAGATCAAGAATTAACGACTGAGGAAACTGCTCAAAAAATGCAATTGAGTAAAGCCGAAACTGAAGATATTTTACATTGTCGTTTAGATTATTTCACTTTAGACCGCTTAACTACTCATGCTGGTTATTTATTCTCTCCTGCCCAAACTAAAATCATAGTCGAATTAAAACCTACTCACAAAAGAACTAGGAAATCAGCCTTTATTCATGCCTAAACTGACTAAGTCAAAAGAGCAAAGATGAGAGTATGATTGTCAACTAACTTTTAATGGTTATCAAATCACTAAATTCACCATTACCGACTACTTTAGAAAGCATGTCAAGCATGGTATCAATCGAAAACTAATTGTCGAGTTGATAAAAATGCTGGATAATCAAAAAATAAAACCCCTTGATGACTATCCTGGAACTAGAAAAGTTTTCCGTTGAGAACGAATTCCTCAGGCTGGGAAAAAGTATCGCCTTATTTTCTGATTTAAAGATAATACGAATAATCATCTTTGGATTAGGAATTGCCATCCTCAAGACTAAATATAAATAAAAAATACGAACTTTAATATATGACCTACAACACTAAAGAACTAGAACGACAATTCTAAACAAAAAAAATTTAAACCTATGGGAAAATACAGCAAAAAACGAGAAGGAACCAACAATAGGCAATTTACTAATGTAGAAAAGTTGAAAGATAACTTCTTCGCTAATTCCGAAAGAAGAAGAAAATCTGGTGATAAAGCCCATGGTGATGCTGCTTACTGAATCGAAGGAATGTGCAATTGAGGCGGAGAACATTATTTAGATAAAGATTGTCAATCTTTAGCTGACTTTTTTAATGCTACTGCCGGTATATCTGATGATGTAGAACAAATTAAGTTATCCGCCAACGAACAAATATTCAACCAGAAGAAACAAACACTAATTACTAAAATTCAAGGACTTATCGGTAAATGTCAAACTTCTAGCACTTCTTCTGTCGCTTATGTGTGTTGTATTTGAAATGATTATTTTGGAAGTTTTTTGAAACCTTATTTAAATACCTTTTCGAGCAAATTGCAAAGACAACTAAAAGAAGTAGAAAACTTGACACCGAAACATCAACAAGACTTACTGAAATTGGAAGTAGAAGCAAAACAAGCAGAAAGCGAATATAAAGAAAACAAAGCCAAAGCTGACCAAGAAACTGATCCTGATAAAAAGGCTCAGTTTATGATTCTAGCCAACAAAGCAGCAAAAAAGGCGGAAGATATTAAAAGAAGAATTAAAGTCAATCCCCTCGCTGATTTAAGTAGATTTAGTAATTTAGATGATTTAAATATACTAATCGGAGGTAATGTTCCCAAAAATCCTCCTAGTTCCAATAGATCAAGTGGAAGTGGTGGTAATTCTTCATCAAATACCTCTAATCCTTTTAACCAGACTTCAAATAATCCTGAAAACAATAAACAACTAATCTTTATGGCAGTTATTGCCCTCCTAATAATCTTTTATCTTCTAAACCAAAAAGACCACGAACATGACTAACGATATCAAAAAAACCCTTGGTGAAACTACTGAACAAGTAGAAAATAAAATTCGAGAAACTTGGAATAATTATCACCCTTATTATGGTGAATTAGAACCCTACCAAAGAGGTCTAATCTTAATTGCTCTAACTGCTTTCTTAATTTTTGCCATCTACTATCTCACTAAATCAGACAAAATCACTAAATTGGATAGTAAAAAAGATAAAGAAGCCGAAGAAAGATTACTAAGGCAAATGGCTTTTTTTAAAAGACTAAAAGAATAATCATGTATAACATCGACCATTACTTTGATTTTGATTTCCCTCCAAAATCAGCCATTAAATCTAAGAATAAAAAACAGCAACAAATACTCCTTTTGTTTTTATTAGTTGCTGGAGCTACTTATTACTTTATGGTTTATTTACCGGATGAGGAAAAGAAAAAGAAATTGGAACAACAACAAGCAAATACTAATAATAAGTCTGCGGAAGAATTAAAAGTCGAGCAGGAAGAAGATGCTTGAGATAAAGGGAGAATTTGAGAATTAGATGCTCACAGTTGAGCCGATAGAATAGTAAAAGCAAAAACAAGTGCCTTAATTGGACAATATCAAAAGTTGGCTAGTTTATTTACCGATGGAGACAGAAATTCAAAATTTTATTTCTCTCGAGCTGCCACTTATAAAATCTACTTCCCTCCTAACTTAAAGGAATGTTATGAAAAAGGTCAAGAATCAAAAGACGACAGTTTTAGAAGCAAATTATCTATGTTGGAAGAGGAAGAAAAACTAATTTTATCCGATGAAATTAGTCAATGAATAGTAGAAGCAGAAAGAAACCCAACTAGAGGAATAATAGATAAAGATAGCAGAGGTAATAATGCTTTGTTTTATGGAACAGAGGGAACCGGCAAAACTGCTACTATGAAAAATCTTTGCGTGAGAGCTAATAAATATCCCTTAGTAGAGATTAAAGGTTCTAACTTAACTCCAACTGAACTAGACCAATCATCCGAGATACTTCCCTTGCAGAAATTTGCTTATACCATCAGTGAGTTGGAATGAAATTTAGTTAGAGAATGTGGTTTTGAAAGAGAAGACAACGGCGAAGTTCGTTATATTCTTTTTGTGGATGAGGCTAATCAAATAAGTAATAATTCGGGCTTTTTTCAGCCAAACCAATTAAGATTTTTAAAAGATTGCATGGAAGGGGTAGATAAAAATGATAGAAGTGATAATTTGTGAGTATTTGCTACTAACCACAAAGACCAAGTAGAAAGAGCTACTTATAGAAAGGGGCGATTAAGTAATCCTTTAGATTTTAGTTGAACTTGGAATGAATTCACTAAGCATGCCGAAGAAGTAGGCATCTACGAGCAATTTCCGGAAAGATGAAAAGAAGTAAAGGGGTTATGAAATCCCGAAGATGACAAATGGATAAATGAATTTAATATCGATACATTCAAAAAAGACTTTTTAGGAGATGACCCCAGCCAACCTACCAAACCTAGATTTTGAGACTTGTTTATTGAGAATAACCCTGATGCTCAAATAGAAACGGAAGAAGATGAAAAAGATGAAGATGGCAACCCAACCGGTGGTAAAGTGAAAATAGATATTGAAATAGGTGAATTTTTAGAATTCTTTTGAGCTGTAAAAAGAAGAAACATTATGTCTTATGATGGTAGTTTTGAAAGCATTAAAAAAGAAACAGTAGAAAAGGTATTAGATACTCGTTTAAGTGATGTGATTGAAGTAATTAATGATAAACTAAATGAATTAATAGATGAAGTAAACAAGTCTAGAATAGAGGGCAAGGAACAAATAATGGATGGCATTGACAACATAATCAAAAATTTAGCCAACAGATAAAAAAATATGAATCAACGAAAAATAACAAATTTAGAAACCAAAATAAATAACATTCAAAACATTATAAATAACTGAAAACAAGAAATTATGAAATACGAAAAAACATTAGAAAAAATTAAAAAAGAAGTTAGTGAATTAAAAACTAACTCTAAAAATATCAAATAATTATGGGAATCTGAAAAGCAGTGTGTACTTGTGTAGGCTGTGTAGCTGCAGTAGGTGTCTGCGTTGTCAGTGCTGGAGCTGCTACTCCTTTTATAGCCGCTAGTGCCGCCCCTTGATTAATTGGAGGAGGAACTGCTGTGGGCTTTTTTATTGGTGATAAAGCTGATAAAGAAAGTATGGAAAGAGAAAAGTTGTTGATGCAAGACCAACGATATAAGGATGCTAAGAATGAATTGGATACACAAATAAATGCTAACAACCAAACTCAAAATCAAATACGGGATATTGAAGGAAAATTGAATGGCACTATTCCTCGACAACCCAATGAAACTGATGAATACTTAAATGCTCAGTTAGCGATACTAACAAACAATCTCAGAAATGGCGAAAGTAGGTTAGAAAGTCTAAGCAACGAATTAGATAAGTTAAGAAAGAGTTTGGGAGGTAATAGTAATCTAATGAGTTTGCTGGGATTAGATAAATTGTCTTTTACTGATAAGGTAATGATTGTTGCCGCAGTAGTGCTGTTGATTTGGTTGTTAAAAGGTTAGCATTTTCTTCTTTTTTTACAAATTAGAATAATAATTGTTAAAGCGAGTAAGAGTAAAACACCGCCACCAATTAGTCAAGGAATATAAGTAGAAGAATTAGAAAGAGAGGGATTGTTTTTTTGTTTTTTATCTAAATCTTTAATTCTATCTTTTAATCGATCTAATTCCTTCTCCTCTTTCGGTGTTCTATTATTTTTACTTTCTAGATTAGTGATATCCTGTTGTAATTTTGCTCTCTCTCTCTCTCTCTCTCTCTCTCTCTCTGCATGGTTACTTACCTCAATACCTTTATTTTTTAAAAATGAATAAAAATCCTTTTTTGTTTGTTGATGAACTTTTTTAAGTTCTTCTTGATTAGCAAAAATATCACTAGAAAGTTTACTATAGTTAGGATTATTAGCAAATTCAATTAAAGAAACATTATTATCTCGCAATGTTTTGCTAACATTAGCAGCATACCACTTTTGCAAAACCTTTAAAAACTCAGAACTGTCTGTATCTCAACAATAAGAACAGCAAAAAAAATTCGGATCATCGGTGCAAGGTTCAATTCCCTTGTCATGATTACAATTTCTTACTTTTGAATATTTTCCTTTATTAGTAATGTCTATTATGCGAGGAGAAGCATTTTTTTTAACAAAGTTATCCAACTGAGTTAAAGCCTTTTTTAAATTATTGAAATCTACTTCTACAGTTGGATAAGTCAAATCAAAATCTTCAACGCCTTTGGTTTTTAGTAATTTATCAATCTCCTTTTTTAAAGTATAAATCCTTTTCACATCTTTTGCCTCTAAATCTTCGTTTTCAACCTTTGGTTCCAAATCACTTCATAATTGTCTAAGTTCTGAAAAGCATTTATCTGTTTTATCTTTAATAGATGATTGATATTTTCTAAATTCTGTTTCTCCACAGTCAGGATGGAAAAAGTAAGAAATAATATCGCCAGTATTCTTAACAAACCTTTCTTCGCCTATTGAAATATTTTTACCACACTTATGGCATTGTCTAGTATATTGTTCCCTTCTTTTACTTCACATAATCTGATTTTTTTAATTAAATGATTCAATTATAATGAACATTTTACAAAAAAATTTGCAGTCTAGAAATTCCTTTTAGTAAAAATTATAAATATAGATTGCCTATGGTCAGAACGATATAGATAGCAAATTAAAATAATTTAAAATCAATTGCTACCTAATTTGTTATAAAAGAGATTAAGTTCCGTGTAGTGATTGTAAACAAATATAAAGAAAATAATAAAAGTATATAAAAATATGGTAAATAACGTAAATGCACAGCAATACATAAATCAAAAATACCCAATAAACGGCACATGTCAAAGAGACAACGATCCAGAAAACAAAGACAAAACTAGAAAAGGTATAACTTTGTTAGATATCCGAAAAGGTAAAGTTGGCAATGGAATGTTTAGTAGTAATAAAAATCTAATCGAAGATTTAAAATTAGAAGGCTTCACTAATTTACGAAAATTAATAATCTCTTCTCACCAAATAACTGAACTAGATGTTAGCAATTGTCCTAACCTAGAAGAATTAGAATGCCATGGCAACGAACTTACTAGTTTAAATGTCACTGGTTGCTCTAACCTTAAAAAAATCGATTGTTCTAATAATCCCCTTAGAAAATTAGATTTAAGTGCTTGTCCTAAGTTGGAAGAAGTAAACATAAATAATTGTCCGTCAGAACTTACTGAGGAAGAAGCGACAAAGTCTAATCTCACTTATGATGCCGAAAAAGGAAAATTAGCCAAAGGTTCAGCCAAAAATAGTCCCCAAATAAGAAAAGCATCAAATAATGATATCAGAAATATCCTAATAGTTGGCATGACGGGTAGTGGTAAATCTACTTTAGCCAATGTCCTTTCTAATACTACTAGCTTTGTAGAAAATAGTTCTAGCACTAGTGTCACGAAAAATTTTCAAACTAGTGATATTTTTGAATGGCAAGGTAAAAACTATCGCATAATTGATAACATTGGCTTCGGTGATACTGCTAACATTTCTAATGAAGACATTTTATTCAAAATCGGAGATGGAATCAACTCTGCTAAGGAAGGAATCAACCAAATCCTTTTTGTATTTAAAGGTAGATTTTCTGAGGAACAAATAACGGCTTTTAATCTCTTTAAAGACTTTATTTCCGACACTGGCATTACTAAATTTACCACTTTAGTTCGCACTAACTTTGAAGATTTTGAAGATCCACAAAAATGCCAAGAAGATCGACAATCCCTCCTTACCCAAACTACACAAGTTGTTAAAGAAATTATTAGTTCTTGCAACAGTGTCATTTATGTAGATAACCCAACAACACCAGTAATAAAAGATAAAGACAATGAAAGAATAAGAGCAAAAAAAGCAGATAAGATAAAAGAAAGCAAGCAAAAGAGGGAACAAGCGATAAAAATAGTGCTAAATCACGTGGCTGAAAACTGTCCAGAAATCTACAAGTTAAAAGAATGGGATAGTATAGTCGCAAGAGTAAATGAATATAATAATAAAAAAAAAGAAATAGAAAAAAGCAATGCCTCAGCCAAGGAAAAAGAAGCAGAACTGAAGAAAATAGAAAGTGAAACTGCGAAAGAAATAAACCAAGGAATAAAAGTTAGTTTAGGAGCAGACGTGCTAGGAATTGGTGGATTTACAGCAGCAGTAGAATACACTAAACAACAAATAAACTGATAAAATTTTTTGCTAAATTGAAATGACATAATATTTTTACTGTAGGGGAGGATTTTGATTCTCTTCAGCATTTTTTATAAGGATACATTAATAATAACTAAAAAAATATGAGTAAAATAATAATACTAATAGGAAAAACTGGTAGCGGAAAATCTACGCTTGCCAATGTAATCAGCGGAACTAATAAATTTTGAGAAAGTAAAGCAAGTGTTAGTGGAACTAAGGAAATTCAAAAAGAGGAATTTATTGAAGAAAACGTTAGTTACGCAGTAATTGACACTGTAGGAATGGGCGATACTAAATTAAAAAAAGAAGAAGTCTTAGATAAAATAGCCGAAGCGGTTTACTTAGCACGGGAAGGCGTTAGTCAAATCCTTTTTGTCACTGATGGTCGATTTGATCAATATGAGATGGTTACCTACAATTTATTAAGAACAATTATCTTTGATGAACATATTACTAAACATACTACAATAGTAAGAACTAGATTTGAGGACTTTGAAGATGAAGAAGAATGTCAAAACGATATTGAAAAAATGTTGGCTGAAAAGGAACTTTGCGAAATAGTTAACTCTTGCCAAAAAAACATTGTCCATGTTAACAACTCTTCACTAAGTAGTAAATATGGTAAAGAAGAAAGAGAAGAATCCAGAAAGATAGTGCTGGAGCATTTACAAAAAAAATCTCAAAACCTAGAAAATTATAAACCACAAAAATTACAAGCATTAAGTTTGGAAATTGTTGAATTTATGAAGTTGAAAGAAGCGTCAAAAAAGAAATTAGCCGAAAAAGAAGCCGAGAAAAGAAAAAAACTCGAAGAAGCCAAGAAAAAGGAAGAAATCCAAAAGGCAAGTAAGCAAATTTCTACTGCGGAAGAAGTAGAAAATGAGTCTAAAAATACTACTTCAACAGAAACTAAAGACGACGAAACTAAATTAGTTACTGAAAAAGAAGAGAAACAAACAGATAATGGTAATAATCAAAACCGAGAAAATAGCAAAAAAATATTTATCCAATTAAGAATTGCATCCTTACAAACTGAACTAAAAGATTTGGAAGAATCCAAGAAATTAATTGAAGAAATCCAAAAATCAGATGGATTAATTCGCCAAAAAGTATTAAATCATATATTCCATAACTATAATGAAATTGCACAAATAACAGGAGGTGATATTTTTATTAACAGTATTATGGGAGATAATGATAACTCTTTAAATACCAGCAAGTTAAGTCTAGTAGAACTCCAAAAACAAAAAGAGCAATTAGAAGAAAAACTTCTAGAAAAGGGAAGCAACAATCAATCATTAAATGATATTAAAAGTGAAATAACCCAAAAAGAGCAAGAATTATCAGAGTTAAAAAAGGAACTGTTAACTATTAAAGAGATAGCAGAAGAGTGACAGAAACAAGGATTTGATGTTCGACAGGCTCAAGCATGAGCTGATGTTTTAGGAAGCGATATTAGTCCTGAAAATGATTTTACCTTTTGTGCTTGATTACGAGATGATAAGAAGTTAACAACTGAAAAGGTGTTAAGTAGGGAGGAAGTTGAACAATTAAGAATTAAGTATGATCCTCAGTGAAGAAGTAATAATAGTAATGAAGTAAAAAAGATACTTTTGATTGGTAGACCGGGTCACGGCAAATCCACCTTGGCTAACGTAATAACTGGCACTAATAAATTTAAAGAGAGTAGTGGAGCAGTAAGTGAAACCAAACAAATCCAGTTTGAACAATTCGTTGATGAAAAAAATAGTGTTAGTTACCAAATAATTGATACTCCTGGTATTGGTGACACCAAAATGTCCGATAATGAAGTCTTAGACATCATTGCCGAAGCGGTTTATTTAGCCAAAGATGGTATTAGTCAAGTATTATTTGTAGTTAATGGTCGGTTTGACCAATATGAGATGGTTACCTATAATTTATTAAGGACAATTATCTTTGATGAGCAGATTACCGAGTATACAACTATTGCTCGCACTCGCTTTGCCGACTTTAGAAGTGTAAAGAAGTGTAAAGAAGATATTGAAACAATGATTAAAGAAAGCCAAGACAAAAAAGTTGAATTAGAAAAAGATATTGCTAATAAAGAAAAAGAACTAGAAAATTTATCTTCTAATAGTGAAAAATACAAGCAATTATTAGCGGAAATTAAAAAGTTAAAAAAAGAGTTAAAATCAACTCTTAGCGAAATAATTGAATCTTGTCAAAGTCGGGTTATTCATGTTGACAATAAGCCAGACATAAAAATAAGAGAGAGGTCGCGAAAAAAAATATTAGACCATCTAAATAAAACTTGTCAAGACAGTTCTTACAGGTCTACTAAATTACAAGAATTAAGTGCCGAAATTGTCGATTATATGGACAAATTTCTGCAAAGTAGAAAAGAATTAGAGGCAGAAATGAAAAAAATAAAAAGTGGTTCAGTAAGTTCTACCAATAGAGTGAGTATTAAACTAACTACTACTAAAGACTCTTTAATCGAGGAATTAAGGAAAGAATATGCTTATTGATTGGAAAAAGAAACTGAAATACTTACTAAACATAATCAACAACTAAGTTTGGAAGAAATGCAAGAGTTCGCTACCGAAAGTTATGATAACATAATTATCGCTACTGGCAAAATCAAAGAGTTAGAAGATAAAAAGACTCGCTTAAAAAAAGAAATTGCCGAAAAAGAGAAAATTATTCAGCAAAAAGTCTTAAAACACATTTTTAATAATTATGAGGGCATTTCTAAGGAACTAGGAGGAGATATTTTTCTTAATAGTGTGGCCGGTGAACATCCTTGACTAGAAATTCATTCCGAATTTTCTAATAAGGAACTAGTAGTAAAATGATTAAGTCAAGGATTTGACTATCAACAAACCAAAGAATGAGCCGCTACTTTAGGAGATAGTTTTAACCCTAAAATTGATGCTGGATTTTGTGCTTGATTAAGGGATGAGAGGCAATTAACAGCGGAAAAAATACAAGAGTTAGATTATCCGCAGAATAATGGTGACCAACTTGCTCAAATCCAGACCCCGCTTAAATAAATAAAACTACACCAACCTTTAAAAACCCTCCTAAAACTAAGCCTTTTATCCAACCAAACTTATTCTTCCAACTTACTTAATAACTCTTTACATTCTTCAACTATCTTTTTATTCTTTACTTTTTGGTTTTGATAAGCAGTTTCTAATTCTGTTCTAGTAAATCCAGGAGGTAGTGAAGAATTAACCAGTCCAGCTTCTTCATGTCCTGATAAAAAACTACTAGACTGATTTAAGTAAATCTCTAAAGCATCTTTAATTAGTCCTTTATTTTGGTCTAAATAGACTAATTTACTTAGTTTACTCTTTAAATTAGTTCAAGTTTCTAATATCTTTTTTTTGTGGATTAGTCATCAAGATTAGTAATTTTACCACTAATCTAAAATAATCACTAATAAAAGACCTTTATCCACTTACTTCTTTTTTAAAATTAATAATATAATCAACTAACTACTAATTACCTCTTTTAATATTTAACTAATTCCTTATGAATACTAATAATATCTTGTTGATTGGGGTAAATGCTTAGTTTAATGTCTTGCTGGCTGACTCGCTTTTTTAGTTCCTCAATTAATTCCACATCGGAGATTGATTGGAATTGAGTGGTTAAAATTTTTTG